GCTTAGTTTTGAAATAAAATATTTATGTAATGTTTTGGTGTTATTGATCCTGCTCATGCTGGCTGAAAACTTTCAGAAATCTCCAAAACGTTACGGGCGGTCCAAACACCGCTGCGATAACTAAATTGTTATAAAAATACTCGAGCGATACAGGACTAACATATATAATTGTTATCTCCACACTACATAATGCACAATTTTTAATTTTTAATACAATGGATTAATTTTTTAATTTCTTCACAATGAAATATTCGCCTTCTTCGCGACAGCGAATTTTCACCGCTTTATGCATAAAATTGTCACGACAAATGTAAAATGTCATAATTTAGTGGATTTTATTGCACTGTAGAATGGATAAAATATCTACAAGTATGTATTGATGTAGGGTGGGAACCGAACCCAACCCGCAACTTCACGAATGCTAGAACAGCACTTTGATACTGAGCCATTCTGCGCCCTTGTCCCGCTCCTCTTATACTAACACATTTTATATTAACCAAACTTGAAAGAAACATTACGTTTACAAAAATTTATGTCAGTTGAATTTTATTGGCAGAATCAGGAAAGTCTTTTTCCTTAGTGCTACAACTATTTTGCTCTCAATGGATCTTAAAATATTTTAATCTCTCTTTAATAAGATAAATTAAATCTTCATAGCACGATCTACAGAACGTAGTTTCGGAAATAAACGGTAGATAGAGCTGTCGGCAAGCAGGGATGTCCAGAGCCATCAACCTATCGCGCCAAGGCATTTTCGACGCGAAACTTTGTTTCCAAGAGTGTACATTTTTTTCCAGAAATGTAAACGTTGTTAGTCCTATAGACATTGTTGCCATGTGCATTGGTCTCTAGAATTCTGTATTTGTCTTGAAGTATTGAATCGTGTTCTGTGCATTACTGCACATCACATTCTACCGAACTATTCCGGTAGAAATTTTTTACAGGCCTATTCCGAGAAACTTCACTTTTACGGACAATTAACAGAAAAAATGGTTTCTTTATCGGGTAATGTGCAAGAAAATAGCTTTGGTTTCAACACATTCGAATGTTTGTACAAAAAGTTCTTTAATATTTTGAAAGAGCAATTGAATTACATGGTCAAATGTAATTGACAGGTTCATGGAAGGAGGAGCTGTCGCCGTTTGGTTCTCTCTCGGATTGCATCCCGAGTGCGAGCCCCTTGCTTGCCCTGTGTACGCGCTGGCGTGCGTGCGTGCGTGCGAGCGAGCGGCGGTCGCGAGCACAGCGCAGGGCGGCGGCGGTGGGCGCGGAGCGAGCGCCCAGCCACCTCGGTAGGGGCGCTGCTGCTGCGCCCGCCGCCTCCACCGCCTCCTCTGCCGCCGCCACGCGAGCGAAAGGCGCGCCATCCGCGCCACTTGCGTCAGTTAGGCAGCGGGCGGCCGACTGGTAGGAGCGCTGCCGGTGCGGACCATACACCGCAACACGCCCCCGCCGCACCGGCGTTCGCGTAGCCTCTTGCAACCGCTCGGCGACGACAGCCGAACCCGTTGTGAGTTCTTGCGGAACATGTGCGACGGTCTGCTGTGAAGCGTGTGTGATTGTCGCCTGCGATTACGTGGACTGATAACGGAGGAGTAGAGGTGCCGAGGCCGCGCGAGACTGCGAAGTGGTGAAGTGTCTTGGGGTGGCGCTAGTGAGACGAAGAGGAGGAGAAGGAGCGAACAGCGACCGCGGCGCGCAGAAGAAAGTGAAAGGAGAAGCCGGAGGGGGAGCCTGCGACTCGACGCTTCCACTTCTAGAGGTGAGCCGCCTCTTTGCTCTTCTTCCGTTCTATTATTTTCGATGACGAGCCAGATAATTTCCCGGCAAATTGGGCCGTCAGCGGAGCCTGTTGATGGAAGCTATGGCTTAATCGACTGGGATATCCCGCATCGACTCTGCTATTGGAAGTCACTCCTTTATAATATTCCTGGCATTTTTCTCTCTCCGAAGGAGTTGAAAGAAGTTTCAACACCGTCGCGTACGAAATCGTACACTCGAAACGAAACTTAATATAGGGGACGGGCATTCCGAAGTTATCGGCTCCATTGTTTGGAGTTGGCGCGAGCGTTCCATCTGGAACAAGAATAACGCGGTCGTCCGCCCTGCCGTGCACGGTGGTGTCCGTTATTTATAGGCCCGGGCGGCACCGCACAGCGCCGAAGAGAACCCGGTCATCCATTAACTACTTTATGGAGGTGCTCGCGCGATTTTACAGGCACCCGGGGCTTAACCTCCATAACGGAGGGCGAATCCAGAGCTAATGTTGGGCTGAGCCGGCCTGCTACTTCATGCCACGTGGAGGTTGCGATGCATTAAGCTGGGAAAGTCATTCTCATTCGCCTTCATGCCCTGCTCAAGAGACAACTTCCCCGTGCATGAGATTTTAGAATATCAATTTAATTTTTACATAATTAAGGGATAATAGATTAAATTCGTCTTAAAAAATAGTGCCAATATATTATTTATTTTATGTAGAAAAAAATGTTAGTTCTGGGATCCCACGTTTGGGTCCCAGGAAAGTTACCATTATGTGATAAAAAAAATAGTTTTGGGACCTCACAATTTTGAGATGTAGGAAGATTCCGATTTTGATTTACGTGATACACCAGACTAGAACTCGCGCCAGCAATAGGGATGTGATATACCGTGGAGACCCACCATGGGAGCTTCAGAACGATTGTGCATTTGGGGTGGCCGGTTGTTACGGACTGGAGGGCCACCTTAGGGCACGGCAGTGTTCGACCGCGGTGATTCTCGATGAGAAGTGAGAAGTTTCCATTCATTATCTTTGCTTCACGCTCGACAAGAGCTTTGCATATTGTATTGATTTTTTTTTTTAAATTAGGCATGAAAATTAGGGGGAAATTACTTTAGTTGCTTGTTCGTAAAGTTTGTAATAATTAAAATTCAGGTTTTGTCCTGCATTTATTATATAGTAGACCTGTTCATCGACCAAAGTTACTCTTGTCTAGGGAGCTGAAAGTGTAAAATGTTCGGGAAGAAAAGATGAACCACTTTCAACACGTACCAAAACGTGGGTCAAGGAGCGTTTCTGATCTAGTGCAAAGTGCAATGTCCTCAGACATCAATCCGCTAAATGTATGTAATAAGCAGTTCCGCAAACTTTAGAGATATAAAGAATCTTTTATTTGATATTAGTAGACATCTCAATAAATATAGTAGTTCTTCTTAAAATTATTATGAATTGGTAATTGTGTATGAACAAAATTCTTGCAAATATTGTACGCGGTTTCCCCGATCTATTGAAGTTCGAAATATATTTATAATTAATGTCACCTTAAAATTAAAAATGAGTTAAACATTAGTATGAATATTTTATATTTCTAGTTTTCTCCTCATTCAATATTTACGATTTGCCCGGCAGCAGGTCATACGAGAGTCTCTTGTTTTTCTGAGTTGGCGTGCGTCACTAAATAAGTACGCAGCCAGTAGAAACGTGTCGCTCCTAGTGGTGCACCGTGATGATAATACACACTCGTGCGGGCAACAATCGAGTTAAATTGCGTCAAGGAATGCCAGCTTTTTTATGCGTGTGGGACGAAGAAACGGTGGGAGGGACGGAGGGCTCACGAAATGCATCGAGGAGAAGAGGGGGCCTCCGGACCACCCCTTGCCCGCCGGGATTTGGAGGACGGCCGGGGGGGGGGGGGCTGGCCCTACGCATGGATATGCAGATGCGCCAGGGCCGCGGAGCACACCGCCAGGGAGGCCCTTGTTCGCGCCGCTCAGTACCGCGGTCGTCGGATTTCGGGGGAAAACGTTTGGACGATGGTGTGAGTGGGGATTTGTGGCTGTGAGTTTAGGCGTGGATGTGTGTGTGCGTGCGCGCGCGCGTGCGTGCGTGCGAGATTCTTCCACATTTCCCCTATCTAATATCCACGGAAAAGTGGGAGGTTATTCAAAATAGTGCTTACACTCGATTCTCTGTTCTTATAACCTGTGGCATGTGAAGAAACAGAGCGTTAGCGAAAGTGATTTTCAGAAGTTAACGTTTAAAGAAATAATGAGTAAAATGTAGTTGTAAAATGTCCTCGAAACAGATAAAATACTTCACAATTTCACATGAAAACCAAGTTTCATTTTGAACGAAAACGATTGCCGAAAAAATGGTTTTGCATTCTGCATTTTTAGCATTTTCATTGCATTTTTTCCCCTGCAAGCCCACATGAATATGTATTAGACACACATACTTTAACTGATTAATTTTAACTGATTAACTTTAATTATTTCTTGTCTATCTTGTGATTTTTTTCATTCACATTGAGTATATTTGCCGTGAGTGTTCAATTTCTTTACAATTTATTACTTTTGAACGCGTCCTATTGCGTGAAGATAGAACGAAATGCAATGTAATAGCATGAAGGAAGTACTTTCTCACAACTTGTCGCTTTGAAAAACTGAACATAAGAAAACACAATGTTTTCTGTTGTTGACTATATTTCTATTTGTCAAGTTATTTGAATTAACATATCTTATTTTTACATTCAGTCAGATTTTCATCGCATTGGCGAAACAGTCACAACTTATTACTCAGCAATCCATATTGGAAAAAACTTTGTGAAAATTAATTTTTTATAGATTATATATTTTGTACGATAATTATTAATAATAAAACAGAGATCATTTACAATCCGAAGTTTAGTTACTAGAATTCTTTGGTACATCGAGTTTTATTAATTACGTTTCGTATTTATTACGCATATGTTTATCTGAAATTCGAATTTCTTATTACGAAATATTAAGTGACATGAGTTCTTGAAGGTACCCTCCAACTTCAGGGAACCGAGGTTCTACGGTATCATTTTCAACATCAAAAATATAAAAATTTTGCAAAGATATGTATTCAGTCGGCAGTTGCTAAAATGACAGCCCCCAGGGCGTCCCCGTTGCTGCAGCCGGCCGCCTTGCCTCGTGCCTCATCGCTGGGAGCCCGTGGTTTATTGGACTCTCGTCGTCGTCGTCGTCGTCGTCGTCGTCGTCGTCCTCCTCCTCCTCCTCCTCCTCCTCCTCCTCCTCCTCCTCCTCGTCCTCCACCCGCTGCCTGTGCCGCTGCCGAGCCGGGAAGCTGGCGCGCGTCATTAGATTAGTTGATTTCCAGTCGGTGAGGGCTGCGCGACGCAATGGGACTAGACGGCGAGGGTCGTCCGTGCGCCACCGCCGAGGCAATAACGGCGCCCTTAGTACCCGTGGAGTGCTGGAGTGTCCGCGGAGGGTTAGGGAAGAATAAAGAAAAATGTGGGAAAAAATTGCTTGGGGACTCATAAGGTTGAGTGAACGTCAGCAAATCACAGCCTCGTCTCTTATTGTATTTTGTAGGTTAAAATTATATTATCAACTTGGTTATAATTTTCGACATAGCTTCACATCTCTAATCTTCGAATCCTATTTGTTTAATGTTTCCTTCGGAGTTGTCAAGGTCAAGCATTGTTGCATCACGGAAGGGTTTGGGATTTGCTTGGCCGACGCGAAAATCGCCACCAATCCCTACCCCGCTTTGATACTACAGTCACAGACCGATTCATCCCCCACTATTTATTCCCCGAGGTTCTTCCTTACTTAACGGTCTTGTCTTATGATTGGTTAGCGCGAGCTTCAGGTGGTTATCTGCCGTTGTTGCAATTTTTTAAAATTTAATTTGTAAAGAACTCTGGTCTCGACGGTGCCTTTAGCCGCACAAGTTTTAACTACGCCTTTGACTAGCACCCCGCTACGCTGACGTAAAAATCGATTTTACTGTAAACGACATGCTATTAAATAAGAGAAATCCCCAAACTAATTTTAAATTAAGGTGAGGTTCCTGCCCAGAATTACCGCGTGATTTATACTCTTTAGTTTCAAAATATTAGTACTAATTTACATTTTCTGTAAATTCTTCTCTCTTTTGTTTCATTGCCATAGACATAATCGTTACTGTTCGCGTTTCTCATTCAAGTTACTTGTGTAATTTTAAGTATGTGCATTGACAGCAAGTTACATCTAGCAACGGAAGAAGTTATATTTTACGATATCATCAACTCTGAAGTAAATTGTCACATTCGAAATATACACAATGTGATCAAAAGTATCCGGACACGTGGTTAAAATGACTTCCCAGTTTGTGGCGCCCTCCATCGGTAATGCTGGAATTCAATAGAGTGTTGGCCTACCCTTAACCATGGTGACAACTTCCACTTTCGCAAGAATCAGGTACTGGAAGGTTTCTTGGGGAATGGCGGCCCATTCTTCACGGAGTGCTGCACTGAGGAGAGGTATCGATGTAAGTCGGTGAGATCTAACATGAAGTCGGCGTTCCAAAACACCCCAAAGGTGTTCGATAGGACACAAGTCAGGACTCTGTGCAGGCCAGTTATTACAGGGATGTTATTGTCGTGTAACCACTCCGCCATAGGCCGTGCAGTTTGAACAGCTGTTCGATCCTGTTGAAAGATGCAATCGCCATCCCCAAATTGCTCTTCAACAGTGGGAACATCAACTAGGCCTGTGCCGCGATAGTGCCACACAAATCAACAAAGG